GCCACAGCCTATATTCCACATCCATCAGCTGTGAATCCAACCATTCTATGTAGCTCAGGTGTTGTTTGGCAGTGTGCTCACACTCACTCAAGCTAAGCTAGCTCAAGAGGAGTAACTCAAGTGTACTAACTTGAGCCAGGGCCCTGTCTACACTGCAGGGACTATATTGGCTTAGCTACAATGCCATCACTATGTTGGCATAACTCCATAGTGTAGATGCCACTCACAGTGACTGGACTATTTCTTCTGCTGCAAGAACACCACCTTCCTGAGTTGTGGAGCAGGGTTGATGGAGTGTAGGCTTGTGCTCAGGTGACTAGCCTGAGCAGCCGGCCATGTTGCCATGGCGACACTATGTCTGTCTGCCCACACTGGGAAGCACCCTCACAGCTGCTGTGTAGACATTCACTAAGACTTTGTCTGCACTGCTGAGTTTAATGCTTTAATGTGGCAGTGTTGTCATGGCACCAGTAAACTACATCCACAAGGGGAGTAGCTAACAGTGTTGGGAGCCTGTTTACCTTGGCGCTTTTCAGCGCTGTAACTTGCTGCGCTTTCGGGAGGGGGTGAGGGGAGACGGTTTTTTTTCCCCCCACTCCTGAGCAAGAAAGTCACAGGGCTGTAAAGTGGCAGTTTAGACAGCTCCTGTGATAGAGACAAATTTACTTTAGGAACAAAAGTAGAGGTGGCAAGGGGGCCCCATTGTCAAAAGAGAAAATTGGATACGAGCCTTTTCAGTAGAAACAACCGTTGTTCAGTTTTGTGACAAAGTGAGGTGATTGCCCCAAGGGCAAGGTGAAGGAGAAAAGTGTTTTTCAGAGGGTTTAATGGAGGTTTCATTCAGGTTTGAAGCACCAAACTGAGTTAGCAGGCTGGTTAGAGAAGAGCTGAGGTTTAACGTTGGAAAATGCTTTGTAGAGACAGGAGATATGAGCGAGCTTAACTATAGCAATTCACCTCTTTATCAAGATCCAATGGAGCTAGGATCGAGACCTGACTCAAATAGAAACATTTATGAAACTATCAAAGAGAAACTCTAAAAGTGATTTTCTGGATACCTGACTAAGCAGTGGAAGCTTGATGGGTTTCTCTATTTTGGGTGCTTCAGTGCAGGCTTTATTGGTATTACTGCAATGATGAAAAGAACTTTTGATGTGTCACGGGTTTTATTGACACTGGTGTGCTTGCATCAGTAGAGAAAGATAGGAAATTAGCTTTTCTTCCAGGTACTTTTTTAGTAGTAATAATTAAATTACATTTGATAGCACCTTTGATCCCAAAACCCTTTAGCCCTGGTCCAAACTAGGGAGTTATTTCAAAGTAACCCCCCTTATTTTGAAATAATAGGCTACGTCTAGACTACGGAGTTTTTCTGGGATACATCTGCTCTTCTAACATTTTTTGCGGATGAGTAGACGCACTCTTTCGGAAGCCCCTGTATTCCTCATTTCAAGAGGAAGATGGGCTCTTCTGAAAGAGGAGGTTTTTCTGAAATTTGGCCCAGTGTAGATGGGCCAAATTTCATAAAAGCCTCTTCCAAAAAAACAATTAGAAAAAGGTATGCAAATTGCGGTCCCATAAAAGTCTGTAGTTTAGACGTTGCCAGAAAGACAGAGGTGGCACTTGGTCAGTGAGTTACTTTGCTTATGTTCTTATGCTTATTTCAGAAAGAGAAAGGTTCCCAAACAAGAAGTCAAAGATAGCTCTTGGAGAGATCCTTGACCTGTAGACAAGGCATCTCAGCCTATGATCAAATAGTAGTATATGTTGTACTAGTTTTACACCTCAGTTCTTCCCAGATATTCCAAAAACAGAGACTCAAGATTTACAGAAAAAGTAGATAGCATCCACCCCTCCCCCTGTTTTTGACAACGTGACTAATGAGGAGTGCTCAATGGATGATCTTTGAAATAGAAATGTAACATAGTACATTTTCTATCTGAGCAGTGCTGGGTCTTTCCTTTTAGAATATGTTCTTTATTTTCTTTTTTCTTTTTTTTTATACACCATCTGACAGTCTCTTTCTAAAAGAAACATATAAAAATACTCCCTAGAAATGCATCCTTTGTGGTAATTGACATCACAGGGCCCTTGGCCCCTTTGATCATGTGTGTTACCCTGAGACTATCTTGCCTGGACTCATTTAAAAATGTGCTTGTACTTTGGAAACTAAACCTATAAAAACAGGATCATGGTGTTCCTTGCTCAGTCTTTTTTTATTATTTCCAGACTAGCTATTACAAATGAACACATAGATTTTTTTTTACACCTGCCAGCCTACCAAATTCAGACTGCAATCTGAAAATCAGGCTGTTACTTTCTGGCTCACACATTAACAATACAGATTCTGCCTCTGGAACTCAAGTTAACAAGTCTGATACAGCAAGAGCCAAAATAGAGGTCAAATTGCTCTCCCATGTCCATGTTGGCTTTGCCATATTTAAAACTTGCTTTTTTTAACTTTTGGTCCTGTACATCCAACACTCTAGTCATCTGAATAAGTGAGCTGTGCCCACGAAAGCTCGTGATACCATCTACATGTTTTGTTAGTCTTTAGAGTGCTACCAGACTTTTTGTTGTTTTTTTAAGTTTAAAAACTTTACTAGGAGAGAGAAAAGCTATGACTCTAAGCCCACACAGGAAGAAAGGCTGGTCAGCAAGAAATGCAATTTTTACAGTTATTTTTCACAGTAAATCTGTCCTTTAACTCCTTGGACTTGACCACCCTCTGTCCCTGTCAATCTTCTTTTATACAGTTTATTGTCAAACATTTGTTTCATACCTGAAATGTCTTCCATTTTCCAAATGTGTGTGAAACTCCACCAGTCTGTCTTTGTACAGTACAGAGAATAGTTGCCAAGGTCAGGATAGTTGAAGGACCCATTCATCTGATTCAGGATTTGTGAGTTCTTAACATGCACACAATGTGCCTTCCTTTTAGATCATTTTAATCCCTGTAAGAAGAGTGTGAAAGCTTCCAAATTAAATCCACTAAAATGCACTAGAAGAAAAAGAAGTTAATTAAAAGGAAACAGTTCTCTGGCCACTCAGACTAAGGCTTTGTCTACACTTCAAATTGTGATCAATCTAGCTGCATCACTCAGGTAAAATATTCGCACCCTAGTGGGCTGTAGTTAAGCTGAAATAACTCCCAGTGTAGGTATGGCTGGGTCAGTGGAAGAATTCTCCCCTTGACATAACTACCACCACTCAGAGAGATGGATTAACTGCAGTGATGAAAAAAAAACTTTTATTGCTCTATGAAGCATCTACAGTACAGCAGCATACTTGCAGCACCATATTGTACATCTGGCATTAGAGCTCTTTCTATATGGAGTACTGTTTGGTTATTTACCTTACAGTAACTAGAGTCCTTCGAATTATGAGGTCCCTACATTCCTTTGCGGGTTCTCTGGTACAGGGAGTGCATATGCTTCCACAATGGAACACTCATAGGGTCCACCACTTGAAGAAGAACAAAAGCCTCTATTCAAGAAAGTTACAGAACACATCACAAAGAGGTTCAAACGCTTCTTTGCTGACTATTACAGTCTTCATCAGTTCTCCTCATCAGAAGCAGCAGTTGGCACAATTTAAGGTCTATCTCTCAAAAACATGCTGAGATTGGCCCTTCTGTATGGTCCAGAAAGCTGGATCTAGCTATTAGACTAGTTACGTCTTATGGAAACTATGCCCTGGGAGACAGATCTCTGGCAGCAGTCCAACCCCTTGCTCTCACCTGGAACTAAGGGGTTTAACAATCATCCATTACTTTGGGTTATAAGCAGGAACATCATAGCCACAAAAAAGCAAGAACTTGCCCCTGAAAGAAAACCTCCACTCTCCATCTGATTCATCTCTTGTTGTTAACAAGTGGAATTTAGATTTTCAGGTAACTGAGACTCTGGGAACACAAATTCTGGCCCTAGTCCTTCAGTCCAATCCAGAAGATATGGCACCTTAGTGCAACCACATTGACTGCACTTGAACTGCATTCAGGCACAAGGGTCTGCTTGTGTGAATCCAGTTGCAAGTCTGGAGCCTTTGTCTGAATGTTCTTTAGTAGATGAGACCAGCAGGAAATTACAGCATTAGTCTTTTGTGTTACAGCAATCACAAAGATGTAAATTGTTTGGTTATTATTCTGGGCCATAGTGAATTTTTTCTTATTTTCAGTGTGATTAGATAGCAGTTTAGAGAGTGTGATATTCTTAAAGCTGACAGTGTGCAAATTTTCTTTTTTCGTTTTAGTTCCCCAAATCATACTTACAGCAGTTGATCCAATGATCTCTAATCTAAATCCTTCTCTGAAGCAGAACAATGGTGAATATGGTAATTTTTATGCTTTATTACCATCATTTGTCTATACGTCAAAATAGAAAATATGTTTAATTACAGATGGACATAGTTGTGTTAGAATTAAGAAGGGGGAAATAGTGAAATCATGTGTTAAAACTGTCTTTCACCACTAAAAGTGGCAAAAAAGGTGTTTTATCATCAACAGGATGAGTTCACACAATTAGAGTTCTGATGATACTGTAACATGGGGACTTCACAATGAGAAATGCATTCAGGAACAAACACAAAGTTCTAGGGACTGCTGTTAAATAAATTATTGTGGGCAAAATCCAGCAGTCCTTTTCTCAGGTCAAATGCCTATAAAACTATATGAGATGTTGGTTCAAGAAAGGATTGCAAGATTTTGTCCTAAATTTGAGAGGTGATGCCACTGAGGGGTGATGGCATGCTTCCTACCCCTGTTCCTCTTGGAGAACCTGTTAAGACTCAATAGATGCTCAGTGGCTCTAGTAAGTGAGGAAAGGGGAAACGGCACATTAAAAAACTGTTATCCACTAACCATCCTCTTACTCTACATTCTATGAGATGTGCTCTTTATTTAACCCATTGAAGTCAAACAGAACTTTAAATATATTGCATGTTGACATTTTTATCACTGGGAAATTGTCACATTATAGTTATTCATGACTATTATATATCTTTCTTAACTGTGGTCAAGAGATGTGAGCAGTAACAATGAGTAATGATTGTTAACAATGATCCAGTCTAAAACAACAATTGTTTTAGACTGAATAACCAATGCTGAATATATTTCTGTGAACAGTAGAGAAAGTGAATGGTGTAACTGTCACACTTCATTTATCACCACCATTTCTAGGATACTGCAGAGATTGCTTTGAGAAGTTATACACTTAGGATCTGATCAAAAGCTCACTGAAATCCTTGGAAATCTTTCCTTTGCCTTCATTGCGTTTTGGAGGATCAGGCACTAAATGGGATTGGTCATAGCTCCTATTTAATAACAACTTTCTGGTTTTCAAAATAGCCATTATGTTTTATTTGTAGATCACAGGTTTGGTCTAAAGTTTTGCAAAGTAACAATGGCTATCCTAAAATTTTCCAGGAGTTCACTTAGATGACTTGTGAGTTTTAAAATTACTTGTAAGAAAATCAGAATGTAGTAGCATTATCAAGCATAATATAATCTAATTGAACCTGTCTTGCATTTTCTCATTGCAGATATAAACATTGACCTCAGGGAATCAAGGCTTTTAAAGAAAGATGGAATTATTATTAGCAACTCTTTGGCTACATTTGCTTACATTAGAGGTAGGAAAATGTTGGGATTTTTTATTCTCCTTGTATTATGTTTGGTGATCCTGTTACTTCTAGTAGCTGTGCTCCTGATAGAGAGTTACCACACTGTGGGGAGGGGAGACAATCAGAACATAGCCACTAACATTTATGTAGTATTTTCCATTCTGAAGGATACTAACCTCTTATTAGAAGTTGCAGCCAAGATTTTTTTAAATGAGTGATTTCAATGAGAGTTGCTAGGTACTCAGCACTTTCAAAAATTAGGCATTTATTTAGGAGCCTATTTTTAGGCTTCCATTTTTGAAATTTTTGGTTTGTGTATGTAAGGATCATTGAAGCACAATTAAAATTCAGTCACCTCTGTGATGCCACATGACAGGAATGGTGACCCATTGTCACTGATGCTACTACCATTTATCCAGGCAAATCGCAGAGACATGTCCTTGCACATTAAGTGCAAGGTGAGAGGTTTTACTTTGATCCAGTTTTATTTATAAAGAATGTACAAAGTCCTGTGTATCTGAATGCAGAAGGGATCAACTATCAAAAAACAGCTTATTTTGCTCCCAAACTAAAAACGCTCTTTTAGCCTGCACCCAGGACCCAAAAACCCAGGTTTTTCCAGAGTGAACCGCCTTCAGCTTGTCTCTCATTCTCAGGGCTGACTTACAATGAAAAGTTAGGTGAAAAATCCACATCCTTGAGTAATATAGTTAAATCTGAGCCATAGTTAAACGTAGCACTGACCTAAACCCCGGTGTACACAGTGCTAGGACTGAAGAATTCCTCCACTGATTTAGCTACTGCCTCTCAAGAAGGTAGATTAAGTTCAGTGCACACTGAAATTAAAACACACACACACATACCATACCAAAATAGTAGTCAGACAAAAACTCCTGAGTGTCTTTGATGGGTTATAAAGATTGAGTCCACAGCAGCTGCTTTCAATGGGCTTTTAATTCAACCCACAACAAGGTATCACCCAATTAATAATATCATTGTTACCAGCTAACTGAAAAATCAGGAAAAATATTAAGTGGATAGACTATAACACCACAAATGAAATTTGGCAGCAGCTGTGGAACCTACATTTCTACTCTTTCAGAAGAGGCCATGGGATCTGCAAATGAGCACAAGCAATTATGGCTTCACCTTTACATCGCATTTGAATCATGACACTATGTCCCCTAGCACTGTCTTGGGAAAGTCATTAAATAGTGAGTCAGACAGATGAGTGATCCTACTGAGTCACTACACACATTGCTGTAACACACCTTGACTTTAGAGGTCTTCCACAAAAGCACTGACCTGATGTGATACTCCTCAAGGACACCCAGGTATGACTGGATGCCTCAGGGTTCTGCCATCCCAGAGAGGAGCAAAAGAGAAATCTTCCAAATGGTCGAAAGTGGTTGCAGGGAAGCAGCCAATGAGAGAGACTGCAAGGAACAGCAGAGGCCATATAAAAGGAACTGTGGAACAGCATTAGTCAGTTGCTGCCTGAAGTTATGGGAGACAGAACTGTGTTCCTGACTGACTGGCTCAAAGAGATGTAAAACCATGGACAGCTAAGTGTGGGCAGAGACTGAGGGAGCAAGAAAGCACTCCTGGCTCACTGCTGGGACTGAATAAGGACTGAGCCCAAGGAGGGCCACAAGAAGACAGTCTCGCCAAGCAAGAAGCCTTAAAGGTACAGATTGTACCAAGTCTGGTGCAAATTAAAGACTGTATTCTTTGGAAGGGGTTTGGTCTGTTTCACATACAGTGTGTATAAGACTTGGCTGGAGGTCTGAGTCATTAATAAAAAATACCAGAGAAACCACTGATGGGTCACCATAAATGGAAAGATTGCAGACAGATCTGACCAGAAGAGGGTGCTTCTGAGAGGTGGGTGCTGACCTTGTTATACCAGGGTTGTGAGGAACCTAACTACCACTTGCCCTTTATCATGAAGCCATGTATGTGCCTGCTGTGGATCAGCTCTCCAAAACCAACAGCCTATGGAAGCACACGCATTGCCTTCCAAACCTCCACAGGCCTTGGTCTTGCTGTATAGGTAGGGTCAGGCACACCCCAGTCCCCTGAGTTTTCAGCATATTCCCTGCAGTGTCCAGCCCTTTAGCCACTGATCGCTCACTGCATTAGTAGACTTGCCATTCCCAAAGAAACAGTGCACATTCAACTTAGTATTTTTTGTAACACCCCAGCACTTAGATGTAGTTACAGTGAAAACAAGAATATGTTTATCAAAGAAACAAGAGATTTGAGTGATAATGAGTAAGACTAGCAGAAACAAATGGTTACATATACAGGAAACCCCTGACATGCAACCGCCCGGGTTCTGACCCCCCACACTTACAACCTATTTTTTAAGTGTGGAAGGGGCTGAAAATCCCCGACTTACATCCTTGGCCTGCATTTAAGACGGTGAACAGTGCCTTTTGTAAATGAGGGTTCAAGTTACGACCCCCGACTTGCGGTACTTCCCCAGGAACCAATCACATTGCAAGTCTGGGGCTGCCTGTACAACAAAATCATAACCTGTTTTCTAGAGATTAAACTTAACCTTTTATCTAAAGAAGCTGATCTCACCCAAAGCTCATTCCAGTGTTTTCAAGCTAGCCTGGTTGAAGCCCCTTTTTTCATAAAGTAAAAGTGCAATCTTCTTCCTCTGGAAAAGGTGTCCTACTGTCTTCTTTCCCTCCCAAATGCAAAGGAGCAAACATTTGATGCATTCCAGTAAATGGCATTCTCCCTCATCTCCTCCCCATCCTCTCACTGGTTTTTCTTCCTGCTTAGCTTATTTTTAAAATTTTTGCTTTCTTCATTTGCATTCAGGCCAGACTGGTGACGACTCATTGTGAAACATACAATACTTAATTGACATTAGAATGGTCAGATAGATAAACCTTTCTTGTTGGAGAGAACTGTTCTTCACCTTTGCTGATAGTCTCTAGACACCAACTTAAGAACATATTTTCAGTCTCGATGCATAACTCCTTACATATTAGCTGTACATTCATTTCACAATACTATTGCTCTCCAGTGTGACACCAGCTTTGATTTCAGAGCTCACATGATGTTCTTTGGTGAACCAAAATGTACCTATCAGCGTCAGGCAGTTCAGGTAGCCCCATTACACCCTCTTGTACATTGACAGTAAGAAGTTCTCTACACACCTCTGGCCTTTACTCATGACATTTGACAAGATCACAGCTTAAGTTGGAGGGACTGCACATTATGGCTCAGATCCTCAGGACTTGCCATTTGGCATGTGATTGCTTGGGGGGATGGAAAGGCTGCAGTGGGTGAGCTATCTTTTGTCTCCCTGATACTCAGACTACACATGTTGGTCTGGTCCAGAGTGGCAACTTAGACTTTGTTTACACTTAACAGGTTAAAGCACAGTCAGTGCTAGCTGGGAATCAAACCTCCCATCTCAAATGTAGATTACTCTTGGTCATGAAAGCTGCAATAGCCAGAGGGACTGTTCTAGCAACCGAATTCACCAGACCACAGAAACTCTCTGCCCGCTCCCCCTTTTCCCCAGGCTTTGTCCACTATCTCAAGAGGACTAGAAAAGGTGGGATGGCCACCAGGTGGAGGTTAAGAATTCTAGCACACTATTCATACAATAGAGCATAACACATTTTGCACAGTAATTAAAGAAATTGACAAGGCAGGATTTAAATGCCAACTACACAAACTTTCTGTTTCATGGCAGAAAATGCCAAAAAAGTCCCAAACTTACCCAGCATCACATAGGGCTCTTTGGAAATGATCACTGACTTTTGTGTCTGTTCTCTACTTTAGTTTACAGATGGTTTAAGTCTGGATTTTTGTTTTGAATTTTAGATCACCCTGAAAGAGCTGCTCTCCTGTTTGTGTCTAGTGTGTGTGTTGGCTTAGTCTTCACGCTGTGTGCTTTGGTGATACATGTGTCATGCACTAACGACTTCCAAAAACTGCCCAGAGTGAAAGACCATGTAGTGCTGGAAAGCAGCAAAGCAGATGACCACAGCAATGATGAGGAAGAGGAAGAGTCTTCAGATTCAGACTTGTCAAATGAGTTGATGGGATTTTGTAGGACTCCATACGCGGGTTATAATTCAACAGAGGCAGCTGAACTGGCAGAAAGGATAGAACGCCGAGACCAGATACTGCAAGAAATTTGGATGAACAGTGGTTTGGATGGGTCTCCTACTCGAAATATCAGTCCATTTTATATGAATGAACAACAAAGTGTTTATTTTGAATGATACAAGCTTTTTGTTTTTAATGTCCCTTCTGTGAAGGGGCATTTGTAACTATATATAATTATTTGTAAAGAAAAAAATATATATATAAAATATATAAAATAATAAAAAGACTGCTTCAAACTCTTGACTATGTAACCCAGTGTGGAACAAATTCTGCAAGTATTTACCATTTGTTGTGCTTTTTATTGACTAGCTGAAAATGAATTCCTGTATATAAGTGTAAAGCATGCTCTTGTGCTGAAAGCAAAGTAATGAAGCAGCACACTACAGAATTAGGCATGTGTTCCATAAGGACAGGGCCTTTATTAGTTAACAGGTTAATTCGGTCAGGCTTGTACAGTACTTTGGAACTGACGTGCGGTAGCAGGAGCTCTCAGATGCCATTGCACTGTGACCCCCTGCTGACAACAAAAATGACTTCATAAAACCAGGAGAGGGGACTGATGCCTGAGCCCCACTGCCCCAACAAAGCCCAAGTCCCACCACTCTGGGCAGGGGAGCCAAAGCTGAAGATCAAAAGGAACTTGATTCCAGTCAAAGGGCTTGTAACCTGAGCCCCTGCCACCCTTGGGCTTTGGCTTCAGCCCTGGCCTCTACGGCTTGGACTTGAAGTTCAGCCCCAGGCTTCAACAAGTCTGAGCCAGCCCTGGTGGTCCCATTCAAAGGGGGCCCCAACCAGCAGTTTGGGAACCACTGTGCTATAGCAATACAATTTTATATTACAGCCGGTCCCCGAGTTGCGAACGGCCGACTTACGACCATTCGCATTTACGACTGAAGCTGTCGTAAATGGCGGACCCTAGTTACGAACGCAATCCGCACTTACAAACAGCACAGTTGCATGTAACTCTGTGGGGTCCGACTTATGAACAAACGGAGTTATGACCAATTGCTTGGTCCGTAACCAGTTCGTAAGTCAGGAAGAGGTTGTATTAATGAAGCGGGCAGAGCTAGACAGAGCCATCCAAGGTTCCCAGAAGCTCTTCTGTTATTGCTCCAACCCATCCCAACTCAACCTCTCCACTCCCATCCTCCCACAGTAAACCACTATATGACTGACATTGGTATAGCTGGACCCAAGATCCTGCTAGTGTTAAGTAGGTTAACAGGTTTGTTTATTTAGGGTTGCCTGCCAGAAAGGTAAGAGTGTTTGAGCCCTTCAGATTAAGCCACAGAGACGTAAAATGTTATCTCAAAAGTGTGTTATGTAGCTGCTTGGAACCACAGATAGCTAAACCCCACCTTAATGTTCATGTGGAATGCCTAGAGACCTAGCTTGTGAGTCTCTAGTGTATGCTGATGCTTTACTCCACAACTAGCCCCACTGGTTTCAATAGGACTGCAGCAAGAGTAAGGTGCTATTCAATAGGAGTAGGCGCTTCACAGTTTGGATGTTTTTACTAGAGATAGGCAGCAGGCATCTATGCCCCTCCCTCCACTGAAAAAATCCACTTGCAGGGAAGAGATGCATGAGTAAGACATGTAAACCAGAATCAGGGCCTTCGATATCATGTACTGTTGAGAAAAGGATCAAAATAAAAGTGTCATGAAGCATTTACCTGGGGCATATTCAGTTGTTACATTTGTCTCTCCTTGAGTTAAACAACATTTTAATTGTGTAAGAGCTAAAATATTTCGCCCCCCTCCCTTAGAACTGGAATGTTAGCCAAGTATTTTTGTGATTATTGTGCCATTTTTTTGCCTTCAGTTCATTTTTGCTCAAATTTATGTGAAAGGATATTTTTAGAGTCTGTTGATTGGATTTCAAGGTATTCTACACAAGGCTCTTTGATAACGGTCACAATCTTCATGTCATGATTGTTCATAGACTAATCACGTTTGATGTAGTTCAATCACACAGAAAATTAAATCAGCTATTTATCTATACTAAAAATGCAGCCTTCCTGCCTTTAAGTAAAATGTCACCAATATTTTAACTGTAGTCTGTAGAGACTTAGCAGAACAAAAGGAGGAAAAGTATCATTTCCTATTGGTAATACTTAAGAGGTCACTGTGTTGTCCCTATTCAGTCCCTATGTACAATGTAGGAGTATGAATCCTTTGAAAGAAAAAATATGACTTGTTTTAAACTCAAAAACTGAGCATGGAGGAAATTTAGAAAAGGAGGGGGACTTGCTCAACTGACAGAGCAGCAATCATATGCTGAACTGGAAAAGCTGAATGCTCGTGACTAGTGTCCTGTTAAGGGAAAGAAGAAAGACTAAGGTGATGGGAAAGAATGACATTAGCCCACTTCATTTATGTGGTAAGCATGCAATGCCATGTAAATTCGAGGTAGCACTAGTATTTCATTAATTGGGACTTGTCCCTGTCCCTAGCAAAATAAGTTGTCATGGTTAATGCATTTTAACATGTTTTGATTTGTAAAAAGATTTAGTGAATTATTTGGCCTTTTCAAGGTAAAGTGCAAAGTGAAAGACTTTTTTTTCTGCTGAAGGAGTCAGGTTTTAGTGTTGTCTCTGCTGTGAGTGGTGTTATCCCACAGGGAATACTGATTGATTCCAGCTGACTAAGGCCATTTCTTCACTAGATGGAAGATTGACGCTGCTATGATTGAGCTAGTGAATCTAGCGAGTCCCAGCGAGGAGTAAGAGAAGCAGATGGGAGAGTTTGCTCTGGGAATAGCAGGGAAACACAAAACAAGGTACGTTGACTCCACCTAGATAATTAACATAGCTGGAGTTGCATATCTTGCTTCAACATTCCCTATGAGTGTAGACCTGGCCTCAGGGAGGCTGCTGTGATTCATTAATTTCACCCTAACTATATAAAGAGATGCGAGTATCTCTTTGCCCAGATTAAGGCCTACTCTGCATTACACTGGGAAAGACATGCAAGTACACCTTTTCTGGTACAGCTATATCAACAAAATGGCTTGATGTAGATGCACCTGATGCTGACAGAAAAGTGCTTTTGACAAGATAACATATAAATTTCTCCAATTAAATAAGCTGTATCAGCAAAATCATTTGATGTCAGCATAACTGTCTGCAGCAGTGTCTGCAAAATGCCTGTGTATAAATGTCTCTACCTATCACATCGTTAAGAGACAACAATCTCAAGCATAAATCTAGCCTACGCGAGAGATGTATCTGCAGGCAAACCCTGTAGCCACTGAGTGTAAGGAGAGTGCTTAGACTCAGTTGAGTCAGCTGCTGTAGATATCAGTAAAACCTCGCTGGCGTCAGTAGAGCCTTGCTGATTTATACTAGCAGAGGGGCTGGCCAGTGTGCTTACACTGGTCTTTTCTGCTGTATTGAAAGGCATAAAGATTACCTCAAAGCAGCCTCAAAGCCCTGTGGAGCTCTTAACCCACTGAAGAGTTTGAGCACCCCACTCTTCCTTTCCACATGTGTCATTCAGGCTGCTTAAGAAATGAAACCCCCACAGCCGTTCACGTCTTTTGTGACAGTTGAACATTCTTCAAACTTTTCCTACTTCACAACCTCTCAGTGTGGGATCCCATCACAACTGCATTTGACATTCTAAAGCTCAGGGCTTAACCCTTCAATCCAGATGTTTACTTAGTGTTAGCACAGGTTACATTATTTTTAAGGAGCCCTGTTAGCACGTCCAACTGTTGTCCCGTTTATTTCATCCTCAAGCATTTGACTTTTGCCCACACAGTTTTCTATTCAAGGATAGTTTGTATGTTGAACAATAGCGATGCCAGTCTCGCCACAGCTCAACTGGCAGCCATGGTCATTCTTGGCAAGGTACTATCCAAGATGGCAGCAGACAAAGGAAAGTCAAAACCCATGTGAATCTAGCAGTGGTCATTTTAAAGTGGCTAGATGGCAGTTTGGCTAACCAAGCTCTTAGCTTCATCATTGTCATGCTTAGTTAATGCCCTACCAGAAGAAAAAAAAAAGAGGTGGTTTATTTCTTCTAGCCTGCCAATTCTCTATTCTGTTTTCTCTAGCAAAATGAAGGTTAGTGATTTCTTCTTCCCTTTCCCAAGAGTACTTGTTAATCATGGATTTAGCAGACCTGATTTCTTCCATAATTTCTGGTAAAGAGGTTGAATATTCAATTTCAGACATTTTTCCCCAACGAGGAACGTGAGAGTTTCGGACATTTCATGTGTAGTTAATGGTATCAATTACTGCTCAAAGTTTAGCCAAAAACCAATCAATGTACATTTCAAGTTACCAGACAAGGTAAACTATCAGGTAAGTTTAAAATAGGTTTATTTAGAAAATCATGGGGCTCATTTCCCAATGAGTTAACAAGTCTTGGAGCACCATGACCCCATTTATTTCACTTTTACATCTGTGTGACTCGACTAGTGAAAAAGAGCAGCATCTCAGGCCATTGGTTTCCTTGGAAGAGTGATACATTCCAAGTGGTACCTGCTAGTAGCCCCCAAGATTACCAGCTCCTCTTATAATTTGTAGTGGCAAGTACAACTTGGAAGGCACTTTTGAAACAAATGATGGCATGATCTTTGCTTTGAGTACAATATACAAATAGAGTAGAGAGTTGGCCATAACTTGGCAAATATGACGTGCAAATAAAAATGGCTATTATGCCATTTGAAGCCAGGCATATTATTCAGTAAAGGATGCTTTAAAGCCATTGGCTGCGTCTAGACTGGCAAGTTTTTCCGCAAAAGCACCTGCTTTTGCGGAAAAACTTGCCAGCTGACTACACCGGCCGCTTGAATTTCCACAAGAACACTGACGATCTCATGTAAGATTGTCAGTGTTTTTGCGGAAATACTATGCTGCTCCTGTTCGGGCAAAAGCCCTCTTGCGCAAATGCTTTTGCGCAAGAGGGCCAGTGTAGACAACGTGGTATTGTTTTGCGCAAAAAAGCCCCGATGGCGAAAATGGCGATCGGGGCTTTTTTGCGCAAAACTGCATCTAGATTGGCACGGACGCTTTTCTGCAAAAAGTGCTTTTGCGGAAAAGCACCCATGCCAATCTAGACACTCTTTTCCACAAATGCTTTTAACGGAAAAACTTTTCCATTAAAAGCATTTGCGGAAAATCATGCCAGTCTAGACATAGCCATCATGTGCAACCTTAACAGAGAAAGAGCTACTCTGTCAGTCAAACTGCTGTATCCTTCTTATGGTAACCACCACACATCACCGTCAGGACACTGCGAGGATCCACAAACCTAGGAACATTGCTGAATGCAGGACTTAGGAAAAGCTATGTGACTTAGGAGCCAAAAAGGGAGCATTGCTGCTTTAAATTCTGAACTTGTTCATGGGTACAGTTTGGTCAATGGTGTATACAAACATGAATTTCAACAAACCTATTGCATATGTAAGGGAACACTATAGGATCTAGTATTTCCTTGGGAATAGGACTGGTGCTATTAGAGGGACTAGAAGAACTGTCCAGTTGTTCTGACTGTAGCTTTGAGCTTGGAAGGGTTCAGTTCAACTCCTTGCACTGTCACATACGTCCTGAGGGACATGGACAACTTGCAGTGTCTCTGTGTCCCGGGTTACCGTCATCAAAATGAGAATAATAGCACTCCAAGTCACACAGGGAGGCTGTGAGGTGGCTCAGACAAGATGGTGTTTGGGGCCTTATCAGATTCTTAGATCAGCTGTGAACGTTTAAATTATAACACCCAAAGGTCCCAAGAGTAAAAGCACTTCTGTGGATCTGAAATGGCAACTGTTCTGCAATCCTGTCTCTGTAGAGCTGCACCCTGAAAAAGTGATTCCATACAAGTATGTATTGAAATGGAACGTTAGAGGAAGG